CCCCCCCCCCCCCCGAGCCTCTCTGCTCCCTAGGGGCATCCGTGCCTGCACACAGAGCCATCTGCACACCGTGTGTGAAGCATCCAGGGAAAGGGCACCCCAGGGACCCCAAGGCAATGGGGGGATGCCCAGGGCCAGTGTACCCCACATGGGGTTGGGGGAGGCGCTGCACTTGCCACCCGCCGGCCCCCAGCATGGCTGCAGCTGCCCTGCAGGGACCCCAGCACTGTCCCTGCCACCTCCTCCCAGCAGGTGTGAGGGGCAGACCACCCGTGCTGGTGGGCGAGGGCTGCAGGGAACATGTGCCAGGCAGGACCCAACTTGCCCCTGCCCCCTCCCCAGGGAGCCCACCGGCACAGGGGCCGATTGCCTCCTCCCCAGGCAGGACCCAGCTGAGACCTCCCGCACTCATCTCACATCCACTGCGCCACAGGAGCCACTGCTGCCGGCTGGTGGAAAGTTCAAAATTCCTTGGGCGCCCCCCGCCCTTCGCCAGCAGGTCTTTTCCTGTTCGAGTCCCGGCTCCCGCAGCTGCGGGACAATGTGCCCAGGGAAGCGGGACAGCTGACGCCACATTTTCCATTATTAGCCCCCATCCATCACCGGCACCGTAAGGTGCCTACGACAGCACCGGCACACGCTTCATGGCAGCCAAGCAGGTGGGGAAGGGAGGTTTGGAGGAGGATGAGCTGCCCAAAGTCACAGAGGTTGGCACCCCAACCCTGGGAGACAACCCTGGAGCCCTGAGTGTGGCCAGCTCTGCGCCTTGTGCCTGGCCAAGCTCCAGGTGTTGCAACTTCGTTGACCCCCAACACCAAAGCCTGCCTGTCTCCTGCTTTGCCCACCTTGCCCAGGCCTGGGCCACACAGCTGATGCAGGAGCTGAAGCCCCCAGAGGGTCTGTGGGGGGAGCAGAGGGTGATGGCGAGGGTGTTTTGGGGAGGCAGAGGCGGGTGCCAGGGCAGAGGCGGCGGGGGCCCTGCCAGCAGGGAGCCTTCCCCGGGGGTGGAGGGCGAGCGCACCATTCCCAGGCAGCTGCGTGGGAGCATAATGCAATTATGGCATCTCCCTTCCCACTGCCAGAGCTGCTCTGCTCCCTGGGCTCCCCCCCCACCGCTGCCTGCGCTGCCAGGGGCACAGCGTGCCAGCACCGGGGTGCCCACTCTGCCTGAGCACCAGCAAGCTCAGCAGGCACAGAGCTACGGATGTGCCCATCCGGTGCGGGATACAACAGAGCAGGCAGAGGAGGGATGGCGGATCTTCCCGGACATCTCTGGAGGGGGGCTGGTGCATCCCTACCTGGGCTGAAACCTCTCCTCGAATTTGGGGCCAGATCCTTCTCTTCAGCCCTGCCACCCTGGAAAGCACAGAGCACAAGGTGACACTTCCATAGGGCTTGGGGACACACACACACCCCTTGCCCCATGTCTTGCACGCAACCTCCTGTCTCCAGCCCACACAAATGGCCAAAAGCTTTACAGGACACAAATTTCCAGCAGCAAAACCCTGGAGCCATCCCAGGCCGGTAATGAAAACCCAGCCACTCTCCTGTCTCATGAGCCTCCAGATTTTGCTGTTTGTTTTATGAAAATGATGAGTCAGTTTTTAAACAGCAAAAGCCTGTGTTTATCTGTGTTTTTCTCTCAAAATGAACCAAAAATCTGTTGCCATCGGATCCTCTTCTCACGCCATATGTTGACTGTGCTACGGCCGCCAGATTCAAAAGGAACCGTTAGCATCTTGTCTCGGGTGTTTAACGAGGCGCCTTTGGGGGCTTTCACTCTCCATCCACTCCCAACCTTCAGCGCTTGAAAGGAAGGGGGGAAAAGAATAGCTGCAAAATGATTAATTTGGGCGCTATTTAGCATCGGGGCGGTTAAAAAGCTACATTTTTACTGGAAAAGTTTGCTCTGAAGTGGGAATTCAGTCATGGAGAAACCCCTGCATTTTTAGGCCAGTTGCAATCTATATGTTATCATTTTGCAAGCTTTCCCTTTTTCCGGGAACTCTTCACCAATCTGTTCCTGGAGAGGCTCCAGCACTTTTCTGGGTCGTTTCTCCAACACGAAGGATGCCAGTTGCCACCGGGCCCATTTCAAGCCTCCCTACGGCATTTTCTGGCTGGGGGAGCCATAAGATGCCACTCAGCCTGTCCGTGCCTCAGTTTCCCAACTGCAAACGGTGCCACCGACACATCCAGACCTCACTCGTGTCTTTGGTTGCAAATTGCTGGGAAGGTAAAACGCTCTCTGCCAACACCAGCCCTGTTACCACCCTTATCGAGAGGTTATTTCACAGGAAAATGTGAGTCTGCTCTTTTCTGAGCAGCACCGTAACCACTGCAGCCGTTCGACTGAAAAGGTGGAACTCGATCCACATGTGGAAACGAAGCAGGATCCGAGATCCCAGCTCGCCCCTCTCCTGCCCCAACCTCTGGACATTCACACCACCCTTTAGGGCGACTTCTTGGGAAACAAGGAACGACCGCGGACGAACGCTGGAGCAACGCAAGAATCCCGTTTCTCGCTGCGAAAAGCAACGTTGACGCAGCTGAGGTCAAACTCTCCCTAACCTACAGCTTCCCGGGCAGGCGGGGAGGGTGAGGAGGGACAGCCTGCGCCCCCGGCTCCTCAGGACCAACAAGAGCCTGAACCCGGGCTGGGGACAATCTCCGGCCTGAGGAGAGGCCTGCAGTGAGGGCAGGGCTGGGGCCTGC